TCTTGTCATGCCAGTCTCTCAAAGCAGTTTTGAAAGGTTGGTCCTTCCCTGGCATTCCTGCTTCGCTCGGGCTCACTTGTCCCAGTGCAGAGCAATTCATGATAGAGCCCTGTCCCTTGACATCTCTGGATACGCAGCCTGTCTACTCAAACAGTCACACTGCCCGCCATTCCCCAGTGTCCATTGTGCAGGCGCTATTCAGATTGCTGCATCCTCTCTCTCTGCTCCAGCTCAGGAAGCAGCCACAGCTCATTGCATGACTAGGACAAGCCTCCTCGGCTAGTCTGTGTGAGGGCTCGGATGCAAGACTGTGTCCATGAGGCCCCAAAGCTTGTGCTCTTTAAAAATCTTTAAGTTAAGGTTTCATGTAGCCTAAACTAGCCTTGAACTTTTAAGATCCTCCTGCCTTGACCTCCAAAGTGCAGTGGTTACAGGTTTGGTGGCATCACCAGTTTTATACAGTGCTAGGGATTGAACCCAGGGCCTCTTGAATGCCAGGCAGCTCTACCAACTGAGCTACATCCACTCCCCACTTCTTTCCAATTTTGACACTTCTGTGAACTGTTTGCCCAGGACATTGGAGAAGCTGGGTATAAGAGATCACCCACCATAGGAAAAGGATTAAGGCTGCCATGATGGTATATGCTTTGTAAAAAAATAAATTTATTTTTACGTACCTTGGTGTTTTGCCTGCATGTATGTCTGTGTGAGGGTGTTGGATCCCTTGGAACAGAAGTTACAGACAGTTGTGAACTTCCGTGTGGGCACTGGGAACCAAACCTGGGTCCTCTGGGGGAACAGCCAGTGCTCTCAGCTGCCGAGCCATCTCCCCAGCTCCTGGAATACACTTTGAATTCCATCACTTGAGCAGGTGAGTCTCTGGATTTGAGGCTAGGCTGGTCTACAAATCAAGTTCCAGGATAGCCAGGGCTACACAGAGAAATTCTGTCTTGAAAAAGCAAACAAACAAACAAACAAACCAACAAACATAAGGATTTTAAAAAGCATGTCATCAAAAGTAAGATTTTTTGAAAAGGGCTTGTAGAACTCCAGACACATCTATGAGGTGCTTTCAGAGTGGTCAGCAGCATGGCCTTGGAGGCGGGCGAACTGCTTCTTTTATGAGCCCTGTGACCCAGGTGGTCTCTCTGTGCCTCAGTTCTTTCATCCCTGCAACAGAGGCTCTAATCCTTTGCACTTGCATGTGGTAAGGTTTAGACATGCTAATGCATGGAAAGTGATGAGGATGGTGACTGGGACCTGGCAAATCCTGTGTCCTCTGCTGCGACTGTCAGCCTGTGAGGCTCTTGCCTGAATGCCCCTCGGATGGTACCCTTCCATTAAGCTGGGATCTATTGGCCTGTCTCTTCCTGAGAGCTCTGCACTCTGAGACCAGCCATCAAGACGCATGCTTGATGCTGTGACATCTCACATGCTCCATTTAAACCTCTTATGGGGACCTGTAGCCTGGAGCATGAATATCTGAACTGAGTCAGATGTAGAAAAGAGAGGGATGTCACCCTCGTGCCCGAGGGAGCCATTACTTTGCAGGAACAGGGCTCACTGCTGCGGCCCCAGCACTCTGCAGAGTACTTCTCAGCAGGAAGGGAATGGATTGTTGAGTTAAAGCTGGGTTTGGATCCAAGATCCACTTCTTCCTGCCTGCTGCAGTTGGCCTTCCCGTTTGTAAAGTAAACGTATTAACAATAATTCTTGGCTGGTAGGGCTGGAGCGAACACTGATGAGATGGGGGAGGAGAGGACTGGGGGTGTACCTTGGCTGGTAAAGTGCTTGCCTCGCCTACTGCTGCCGGCACTGTATTAACTGAGTACCGTAACCCATGCTTATGATCCCAGCATCCCAGAACTTGGGAGGTGGAGACAGCAGGGTCTTGAACTATGATTATGACTCAAGGCCATCAGTGGCTACACTGAAAGTAGACACGAAGCCCTGTCTCAAAAGTAAGAAGCCATGTTGGTGTCCAGCACAAAGGTAGGAGTTAATGGACAGTAGCAATTATGGTATGGGAAGAAAGTGGGGTGATGTGGGTCCTAGATTTTCAACCTAGATGGAAAGGGTGTTAGCTTCTCTGTAGAGCTGGAAGAACCTAAGGAAGCAGATGAGAGGCCCAAGTCACACAGTGTGGCTTCAACAGGACCATGATGGCGTCCATTATGATTCATCCCCCTCACGAGAGCTGGGCCTGTCCAGTTTGTTCTGAAGAGCGGGTGTGTAGGGGTGCATAGGTGAACCAGGCTCTAGCCTTCTTCCACTCTGCAAGGAGTCCCAGCTGTTAACGTCCTCACCTGCGGTTCTGCGTTCCAACCACTAGATGCTGCTACAAGACAAAAAACAGCTCCACCGCAACCTGGAGCTTCCAGCCCCAAGCAGCCACTTTTGTCGGCTCCAGCTGGAATCTTCCTCCCACCGTTCTTCCCTGTACAGGATCCAGACACACAGAATCTATCCCAGAACCCAGGGCGAAGGTCACACCACATTACCTTCCTGGTGGAGCGTCCCCTTTCCCCTCTCCCTGTGCAGATTGCAGACGTAGTTATCACAGGGTCTGACCCTGTGAGCCATCTTGGCATACAGACACAGAAGAAGAAGTCCTACAGAGGAGGCAGTTTTGAGCTCAGTCTCAGAAGAATTTCCTTTCACTCCCTCACATGACCATGTCTGAGATCCTGTGGAATTCCTGTCTTTAACTGGCCGAAGCCCTTTCCTAGTCAACTGTGAGAAGGCTTAGTAGGTAAAGCACTTGCCTCATAAAACCTGAGTTTGGGTCCCTAGAAACCACTTAAAAAGCTTTGTGTGGAGGATTGGACTTGAAATTCCAGCCATGGCAGAATGGGAGACAGAGATGGGCAGATTCCTGGAAACTTAGGGACCAGACAGCATGACTCACTTATGTGGCAAAATTCCAGACCAATGAGAGACTGGGTCTAAGAAAAATGTGGAAGGAGCCCCAAATAGTTAATGCTCATTGTCAACTTGACAGGTTATAAAATCTCCTGGGAGATGGGCCACAGGGTATGCTTATGGGATGGGGAGTGTTTCATACAAGGTCTGTCTAGGAAATTGGTATGTAGATAGGGTCTCAAACTCACAGAGGTCTCCCTGCCTCTGTACCTGGAAGATCTGTTTAAAAATTTTAGACAGGACCATTGCCTGGCCAGGGAGAACCTGGAGAACTGTTCTAAATGGAGAAAAAAATGCATAAAATGGAGGCAGCTACCTGAACAGTAGAATGTATTCATTTGCTGTTTTCTTATCGGGTGTAGGATTTCCTGGAGCTGGAATTACAGATGACTGTGAGTCACCTGAAGTGTTGTTTTCTTCAAGAGCAGAAAGTGCTCTCAACCACTGAGCCACCTCTCCAGACCCTGCGCTCTGCCTTCTGCTTGTGTACGCAACAAGACCAGCTACTTCGGCCTTCTGCTGCTTTGACTTCTCTCTCATACTGGCATACATACCCTGTACCAAGTCTCATATGCATTCAGTGGCAGAGCCAGAGCCTGTGCCGCCCAGCTTCTAAATGTGAGCTCAGGCTGAGAGCTCTTCTCCAAGGGTGCCTGGAGGAACACTGCCCTCTGTCTTTGCCCTGAGTGTGCCCCACCCATGGCATCTCAATCCTCCCATGTTTCACGTGTAGAACACCCATGAGCTTCTCTGTTGGCAAGCTGGGAGCTGCTTGATGGAGGAGAGGCTGAGTGCATTCACTCCTCTGTCCTGGTAGCCCCTGACCTCTGAGCAGTCATGACTTTGGAGGATGAGAATTCAGTGGGTCTCAATTTGTCCTGAAGCCCCCGCCCCCCCAGGCCATGATCACTTCTGAATACAGGTTTCTCTGTTGGGGTATAACATGTTCATGGTCCCTGACGCTGGTAGGGCTAATGTTGCCTGCATGTATCCTAGGCAGGGTAACCCTTCTGTGTCCCTTCTCTTCACAGCTCACTTGTCTCAGAAGAGATGCTCACACACTCGTGATAGCTGAAGGCAGGAAATCTACAGGCTGGCTGTTCACCCCTGCTGTGTTAAAAATTAAATTACTTAAAGTTCCCATTTGGGACACTGCATTGTCTGTTTAAAAGCAGTCATAAAAGCAGAATTTGTACCCCAGTAATTGGCAGATACTGATCAGAATCCCTCCCTACCTCTGGAGATCCAACTGTCACAATGTTTACAAGACTGAAAACCAACTTGAGGCTTGCAGGTTATGACTGAAATCCCTGTGGGGCTGGCCAGGGCTGCATTTAGACCACAGCTTGCCAGTACGTACCAATGTTCCCCCTTCCTTTAATCAGGTGCTGGGCCCCACTTTCTGCCAGATGTCACACACTTGATTGATTAAGATGAGATGTGAGAGTGTAAGGAGGAAAGACACCTCATCAAAGCCAACAGGCATGGTGGGAGCCCTGCTTTTAACCGCCGCTGTGGTGATTGGCCATACACCAAGAGCCCCAAGCTCATGCGGGAGTCTGGGAAGTTGTAAGAGGTAGTGTGTGTAAAAGGGCTTAGCACAGGTTTGGCTGGAGCAGAACATAGTAAACATTAATTTACCAAGAGGCATAAGAGTGGGATCAGGATCCACCCACGTGGAATCTCCACTGTTTTGAGATCTCTGGCTGGTTGAGCTACTCTGTCTGTTCCCCAGTGAAGAGGGGATAATAATAGACCTGGAAGAGCCTCTTGGAGGGTGGAGACGAAGGATGTAAAGTGTCTGGTGAGAAGTGGATACTCTGTAAATGGGAGTTATTGTCCAGGATTATCTTTTATTTCACATCAGTTAGAGAAGTAGCTCTTCATGGTCTTGTGCAGACAGCTGGGACCAGAGCCACGGAGGCAGGACTAACTGTGCCTTGCCTGTCCTTCCCTTCCTGGATGGGTCGGCCCCTCAGCGGGCCATGGCTTGAGAAGGACTTCAGAGGCTTGGGACGCTGTTGCTAAGTGATGGTTGCTAAGCAACACTCTGTTTCTTCTAGCTTGGCCCTCTCTACCTCAGGAGGGCTGGCTTCTCTTGAGCAGCTCCAGCCTCTTGTGGCTTCTGTGGACCTCAGAGCCAGCTGCAGAGGGCAGGTGAGGGTGGGGCCTACTGTCTAGGGCCTCAGGAGAGCACAGTCAACTTCCAGAGGGAGGTGGATGGGGAAGGAACTGAGTAACAGATGGGGTGGGGACACATCTCACAGGAGAGAACTCTCAGGTGGTCCTCCGGTCACGTCAGACCAGAGGACAAGGAGTCAGATACCCCAGGTCTAAATCCCAGCTCTGTCTCTGGTTAAGAGCTTCAATTCATTTCTTGGCGCTAAAGTTTCTTGGCTCTAAAATGGGGGACATTTGAATGCTGGTATGTGACAAGTGAGTGTGAGAGAGTGAGAGTTGAACATGGATTCTTCTGATGGCTTGAGATGCAGTGTCCAGAAACCAGAACAGGGGCCTGCGGGAAGGACTCGGACCTATGGCGGGGGAGGGGGGAAGTGGGGGGAGGATTGCCACTGCCGGGATTGGGACTCATGAGGGCCTCCTGGGTTTCTGTTCAGGCCCGTGGGGCCCTTGCCCCACAGCATCATGATGGGAAAACTCCCTCTCGGGGTTGTCTCTCCTTATGTGAAGATGAGTTCAGGGGGATGTTCTGATCCTCTGAAGTTTTATGCTACCAGCTATTGCACAGCCTATGGTAAGGACTCCCCCCTCCCTTCGCCACACACACATAGTATGCAGTAGGAAGAGGGATCTGGAGAGGGACGCTATCTAGAGCAATCCTAGCAGAGTGACTTGCCACACAGAGCTGATCTGTTCTCGGAGCCCAAGGGCTCACACTATCAAGCTGGCCTTGTCTGGCTACCCCCTTCTCTGGTCCTGTCCCTGCAGTGAGTCTGCTACATGGTGTCCCCACTCCATTTGGCTGTTTCCTGCTACCACAGCCCTCTGAAGAGCCAGGCCTACACAGCTCCCATTGCCTGGATTGTTGGGTGTTCCCTTGGCCTAGTGGCCTCTGAGCCCTGGGGGATGTTGGCCCTGCTTGGGAAGCCAGTCTTCATCCTTCTGATGATCTTTGGTCCTGTCTCCCTCTTCCTCGCCTGGCAGGTCGAGAGGAGTTCAAGCCCCGCATGGGATGCCATGTAGGCACAGGCTACAAATCCAACTATCGGCCCATGGTTTACAAACCCCACCTGGACAGCCTGGACAATCCTGCCATGGGGTATAGTCTCCAGTATTCCTTTCCTCCCAAATCTGCCCTGCTGGATTGTAGTTATCAGGGATGTCATTGCCCAAGGCAAGGCCTGGGTGGCTCTGGACATGCTACCCAGTTTGGGCCCCATGGCTTGTGGACTCTTGAAACATTTGCAAGAGGGATGGGAGAGATGGGAGCTTCTGGGAACAAGTGATGCAGCCCTCAGCGCAAGAACAAAGCCGGTGGCCCTGGAGATCCTATCATCATTTTCTCCCACCCCTTAGGGAACAAATCCATGACACTTCCAAGTCTGTGGCCAGTCAGAGCTATTGTCCCTTAGAAGGGCCTGACAGCAAGCAGCCCCTGCCCAGGAACCTGTACCAGACCACCTCTGGCTATGCACGAGAAAAGTTCAACACTGGGCCCCTTTCCAAGGAGGTCAGTACTGGGCCCATGCTGGAGAGGAGCGAGCCCCAGGGTGTGTGCAGGAAGTCAGGGAGGGTGGGTTCCTCGGACAAGCCAGCACCTCCAACCACTGCGCAAAGCTGAGATGACCCAGCACGGAGGAGCCAAAGTCTAGGCTGAGGGGCCACTCCCCGCTATCATGGCCTCTCCATTCCTCCCTATAGCCCTGTCACCGCCCTCCCCCCTACGCCACCCTTACAAATACCAATATCCTATTCATATGTTCAAACCCTTTGCCACCACCTTCACTGCCTCACGGTCACTGTCATAATTGTCCCCAGCTTCTTTGCTTCTGTCATCATTGTTATCGCCATTCAAATCACCACCATGGTCATGAGGACAGGTAGCCATTCATCCAACCAATGCAATCAGAATACATTTTAAATTTGTGCTTAAATTTAAAATGGAGGGAGTGTGCTTAGGCTGTAGGTCAGTGGGTGAGCCTAACATTCATGAGGCTCTGGGTTCCATTCCCCAGTGCTTCATAAATGAGGCATAGCGCTATACACCTGTAATCCCAGGACTGGGCAGAGGGAGGCAGCCATAAGCCCAGCACTCAGGGAGGCAGAGGCAGGTGGATCTCTTTGAGTTCGAAGCCAGCCTGGTCTACAAAGCGAGCCCAGGACACCTAAGACTACAAAGGGAAACCCTGTCTCGAAAAACAAAACAAAAACAAAAAATTTGGAAGGGGTAAGAGCAGAGGAAAATACAATATGGGAGAAGGATTGATAAAGCAGAAGCTCAAAGGCTGGGAAAGAAATTACTATTGAGATACTGGGTGAGGTTCAAGAGGCTAACATTTCTCTAGCCACAGCTACCTAAGGGATGTGTGTTCCAGTCAGTCAGCTGGGAGTACAAAGGCACTGAGGCAGAGGTTTCTGGCTGAGGGACTCAGCAAGGAGTTGAGTGCCTGCAACAGCCCGAGAACCCAAAGTCCCCATGGACCGATGTCAGGGTATGAGAGTCACTATGAGCAAGACGTTGCAAGCCCCGATACAGGAAAGACCCCACTTACACCACTGTAACGGAGCCACGCAGACCACCACGAAGGTGCTCTGTTAGGAGTGGAGGGTGACTGGCACTCTCTCACCTTCCAGGATGATCACTTGTGTTCACTCCTCCAGGTCAGGAAGGTCCACTTCGACACCCAGGATCACGGGCCTCAGACCATCACAGGACTGGAGCCCAAGGAGGTGCCCCTGCTCCACCAGCAGCAGGGCAAGGGCTCTATGGAGTGGGAGAACTCGCACTATGTAAATGGGTGCCTGCCATGGCTGGAGTGGGAAGGGCTTGGGGGGTGCCACAGCAGCTCCCTCCCTCTGCGGAGGTTGGGCCTTTGGTTTCTCACCCAGGGAAATCAATTATTGCGTGTGGGGTTGGGTCCTGAAACGCATTTTTAACTTGATAGTTCTCAAACTGCATCAAAGCGGCCACCACACTCTGCCCTGGCCCTTGTTGTTGGTGTTCCACGACCAAGCTGATATGCATTTTCTTCCATCTGTTTATCCCTCTTCATCACGACCCCTTTGCTTCCGTCTGAGTTCCTCAGGGTCGTTTCCAGGAACTCAGCATGGTGTGTGTAATTTGGAATTATCATGGAGGCATTTGGAGTACTGCCATGCCTCATCAGGAATATTAGGTGTCTACTGGGGTGTTGTGCTCCTTCTCCCAGGCCCGCTGGGAGTTCACACATCCAGAGAGCCTCTCGGGATGCCTGACTCCCACCCTGGGTTGCTGTTGTCCTGCCTTGTATGTTCCAGGGCCCACGCTTCATGTCCTCTGAGTACAATTCCAAGTATATCAAGGAGACTCCAAACCACCCAGGTAGGCCCTCCCAACTTCACCTTCCTTCTCCAGCCCCTAAGAGAGAATCGGGGGGTGGGGTGGAGAACTACAGTTTTCAGATGCTGCCAAGGAGAGAAAGAAGGGAAGGCAAACAAAATCAATCCCTGGGCTGATTTCAGTGCTCTGTCCTGTAGCAGGGTCACTGGAGCCTGACCATAGCTACTCCTGGCCTGTCCATTCCCATTCTTCCTTCTGCTTTCCTGGCCTGGACCCTGGAGTCTGTTCCTCTCCTGCTAGGACTTTTAGGTAGTCCCACTAAGAACACAGAGTGGTGGCTTTTGCAGATCCCTTGCTCAAGAAGACAATTGGTGTGAGAGAAGAGTCTGGCTTCACAGAAGAGACTAGCAAGAATCCCATTGTCTTTCAGCCACCCTCACAGGCACTGGCCGGGGAACCTGTAAGTGTGATCTCAGGAGCATTAAAACTCTCAGGACTGGGGGTCTGCAGTTACTAATTTTTAAACTTCTGACACAAAGCCCCCCACCCCGGTCAAGTATGGAATGAAAGGGTGGGAGAGAACACCGCTGCTGTGGTTCAGAGTCCCACTTTATAGATGAGAATACTGAGGTCCAAGTAGGTAAAGGGGCAAGGCCAGGTCGCTCAATGCTCAGATGGGAACCTTCCCTGCTGGCTCCCTTTCAGGACCAACGGCCTGGTCATTCCACCCAAACTCTATCTATTCCTCAGTTGCCCCCGTCATACCTGTCTGTACATAGCCTTTCTGAAAGCTTGACACAGTGGAGGCTGGAATCAGAAGGTATGGGAGCCGCTGAGGGCAAGGGAGGCTCAGCTGATTTCCCACTGTGCACCCCTCTCAGGCCCTCCATCCAGGACGGAGCGTCACCAAGTCAGACTACCTCCCTGTAAATCACCCTCAGGTAAGCTCTGTGTTGCCAAGGGACCAGGGCCGCCTGTGGGGACAGTTACACATGGGCTTGGGATTGTGAATGGGTGGTACTGGCAGCTGCTTTGTCCCTTCCAGGGAAACGAGTTCCTCCCTGTGCTGACCAGAGGCTCTGATCGGGACACAGGATACAGCCGAGTGAATGAAAGGACCTTGAGCTCCAGAGTGAGCGATGGGGCCCCAGCAGGGAAGGATGGGAGGAGGCAGAGATAGATGAAGGGTATCACAGACGGAGTGTAAGGCTGGGGGCTGGGACAGAGCTGAGTGCTTTGAAACACGGGATTCTTTGGCAGGGGGTGGAAGTACCTCTGTCCACCTTCCCTCAGTTCCATGACCTCAGCCAGCCACACAGCCTCATGTCTCGTGGCCCTGTTCCCTGCAGATGCCTGCTCCAAGCCCACAGCCGGCCACCATGAGCCACAGGTCCTACCAGCCACCCCAGCGGATGCAACAGACAAACGTTGCTCTGCTCGGCAGGGAGTCTATAGGGAACAAGGTAAGGCTGCCTCACCCACGCCTGCCCCTCCTAGGCTCCTGAGTCCTAACCATTGTACTGTCTTCTCCTTGTGCAGGAGCCCACAGGGTTCACTCTTAACAACCCCAGCTATTTCCGGAGCTCCTTTGATCCCGACAGAGATCAGCGGTACCTGACTACCTACAACCAAGGGTGAGGCTCCCTTCCTGGCTGAAAGCTGTGACTTGTTTAGCAGTCTGAACATGAATGAAACAGAGCAAGTAATGAGGGCATGACCTCTGGAAGGAGAACCAAGAGCCACACTGAACTCTCCCAGACACAGACCCTTAGCTGAGCATCATGTACTGACAGCCCCTTCAGTGTGAGAGCAGACTTCAGGGACTTGCACGGAAGGGAAGAGGACAGTGATGGGGTGTTACGAGGCCAGCTGTCCTGTGGCAGAAACTCAGTGTAAGGCATACAGCTCTGAGCTGTCCCGGCCTGAGAGTGAGAGAGCACAGGCAGGCACACCCCAGACTCAATAGTCACTGGTTAAAAAGCTGTCACCACAGTGACATTAAGCCTGGAGGGGGGAGGAGCTCCTTGCTCAGGAGAAACGGGTTCTAGCAACTCAAGGGGAGTTCTCACACAGACAGGCAAAGCATGATTCCAGAGCCAGGCTGGTGGGCTTGGAAAGGGTAAATAAATGCAGGGCACTGCAGCAGCCAAAACATCAGTTGCTAAGGTACTGTCTGTATCCATCACATGCCAGGTAGGCTCAGTGCTCCCTCAGCAGGTAGGCTTAGTGCTCCCAAGAGTCATGTGGATAGCTTCTGAAACTAGGGCTAGGTGGGAAGGGCATTTAGGAGCAAAGAAAAAGAAAGTATAATACCCTTTCCTTTCCTTTCCTTTTTTTTTTTTTTTTCCAGACAATCTTGTTATGTGGCCCTGGCTGGCCTGCAACTTTCTCTGTAGCCTAGACTGGCCTGGAGCTTATGACAAATAGCTTCTGTCTCTGTTTCCAAGTGTTGGAATTAAATGTGCATTAACCCACTTCCACAAGAAGTGGTTTTGGGGAGGAGAGGGGTACAGAGTTCTAGAGGTGGGAAAGCCAGGCTTCTTCCCAGAATAGTTCATCTATCAACACACACACACTGATCCCCCTCCCCCCATACTTGAGTATTCATTCCAAGTTTCTCCAGCTTGTCAGGCTTCTCTTCTGCTACCCTCTTCTGGGATACTTTCCTGTTCTGTCAGTCCTGACTTTGGGTAGATATTGTCCTAGGCCCTGGAGGACAAACTGTGTGATCACATCTTGAAGTGTGGTTACAGAAAGAGATGGAGAGCTGGGGCCAGACGGTTGATGTAAAAAGGTGGCATTAGAGGCTGCATGGTATCTGGCTGAGCCCTTGGTGGCTTTTGGGCTAAACCCTTAGGGCTCAGCTTGGGAGCACTGTAGCTTCTCCACTTTCTGTGATGGGGGACACTTTCTGAGTGTTGGGAGACAAAGATCTGTCTGTTTTTTTATGTGGCTGTTCCACTTTTGAGGTCCCAGTAGGCCCTCCTCCAAAACATAGTCTTTCTGTTGGTCCTTACCGTGCCCCCATCACCCGTCAGGAATTCCTGCCAGGTATCAGACACACTGTTCCTTGTTGGCAATCCTGAAGATCCCTGGGGTTGTAACCACTGATTTCTAGGTGGACCTATCGACATTCTGGCATTCTGTCTTCATAAGTCAAGGCAGGTGCCCAAGTCTTACTCATTCTGTGTCTAAGAACCTGGCTTAAGTCTTGGTTCCTCAGGTACATAGAAGGGTATCAGATGCAGGGCTCCTCCCTGGGTGCTGACAGGGCCTCAGGTGGCAACACCACAGAACACTGTCCGTTGCTCTCCACACCCATCTGGGCTTTGGGGTGAGGTAGGGGCACTCAGCTCCAGGAATGGGGACGGGCTTCCTGTGTGAATGTCCTAGGTGAACAAGGGCTCAGCTGTGATGGGCAGAGGAGATACATGGGCAGAGGAGACTGGAGAGCTCCAAGGCCCAGATCTGTTGGTGGTGAAGGGAGGGACAGGTCTCAGAAAGAGGCAAGCAGTGCCAAGAGCCCTTGCACCACACTAGGTACTTTGATAACGTGCCCAAGGGGCTAGAACGGGAAGGCTGGACTCGAGGTGGCATCCAGCCCCAGAAACCAGGAGGTTACGCCCTCAGTGAGTCCATTAACCGCATGGAGAACACCCCCAGCCCCGCAGAGACCCTGCGGCACCTGCACCCCCATGTGGGAAGGTAACTCATCCCCTCAGCTCTCCCCCTGTGCCCCTTCCTCATTTCACAGCCTCCTCAGCTAGTCTTGATTCTAGCATCTCTGGCCTCTGGTCTCCCACCTGCCCAGATTCATTCCTTCAGCTCAGCTCTGCCTAACGGCTCCTTCCTCCACACACTTCACCTCCACCATGGTTGGCAGGGGCTGTGGGGAATGCATTTAAAGACGAATGAACTGTGGGCCTGCCCCTCCTGTGACTCCTGCTCACTTCTTCAAAACCTCCACTTGGATGGTAAAGGCTCCAGTTGGCAGGCAGAGAATGTCTGTGGCTTGGCTGTCCTTGTCTGGACCTGGCTAGTTCTTGGGATCTCAGGGAAGGAGGCAGAGGAGACAGTCCCAGGCCTGGTCAGACTTCCTTCTATCAGCTTCCTTTCTTCCTACAGAACCTTGACTTCAGTTGACCCCTTCTATCAAACTCATAACAACCGCTAAATGGCTTCCAGCTGAGTCTGGAAGGTAAGGGGGGGGGCAGGATGTCCTCTTGCACCCACTCCCCCAGGGGGAAGGCATCATTGGCCAGCTCCCTTCCCAAGCCCCAGGTTAAGAAAGGCTTGAGGGATGGGCGTCAACAGGCCTTTTGTTTCTGCTAGAGAGTGTTCAGAGCTGCCCTAGGGTTCTTCCTCAGACCTTATTTTTGTTCCTTTTACTCAGGTTGGCCGTGATGGGACAAGTTGTGTTTCCTATGCTTTGAAAGATTTCCCCAGTTACTTTACTAAGGAAATAAAGAACGCTGAACCAGTATGGTATTACAGTCACTGTGGGGTAGATTGGTGCTTGGGCAAAGGTGTTGAGAAAGGATATGTCTGGGTAGAGGGTTCAGGGCCAGATTTGGAGTCAGGGGACTTGGAGCATCTGAGCCACAGTGGCTCAGCAGACAAGGTCCATCCCACTCAGCTTCCTGTCCTGTTGAGGCATGCCCTTCAGCTTGTGCTGTCTAGAATAGTGATCACTCAGGTTGGGGTGCAGGTGGGATGCATGGGGGTGGGGCAGAGGGTAGGTGGGGTGAGAGGCCAGTTACTGAATTTCCTAGGTCTGGTTACCACTATAAAATGGGAACGATGATTACAGGAGGGCTTTTTGTTCCCACTGATGGCCTCAGAGGAGAGAAGTCTCTAGGGATAGGTCAGGAAGAATGCCATCAAGATGGAGGGGAGTCTGTGATCGAAGGGCAGCAAAACACCTGCACAGGCTGATGACAAAGGCTGGGCTTTCCCCCAGCCACGCAGTCGAAGGAAGACAACATATTTTTTGAGAATGAGAACAAGTTGTCTGTTAGAGGGACACCCCACTGAGCACAGTGCCCAGTGAGCAAATATGTGGGAAGACAGGGCAGCTGGGCACTAGCACACTCGCCTGCAAGAATTGAGCCTGGCTCTCAGCACCCGTTGTCACTCAGCCAGGTAGCTGTTCAGTACGCAACTGTGCAACTGTATGTTGTGGCTCCAGTAGCAACAACCCCTTATTTTATACCTCAGGAGCCTAGATCCTGTGAGATAGTAGGGGCTCTAGAGGGCAGCCAGATAGCAGTCCTGAACTTGAGGATGTCCTCTCAAAGCCCAGATTGGTGTGAGGAGAGGATGGGCACTCCAGATCTGGCAGCCACCCACTGCCCCTCTGTCCATTTGCTTCTCAGTAGGCATCACGTTGCAGTTTTGCTGGCCCTGGAGCACAGCTGTATTCGTGCAGTCCTGTGTAGCAGGCCTGGGGGCTGTCCACAGCCTGGCAGCGGCTCCATGTGGGCTGTGGGAGGCTCCAGCTGGTTCCAGGGTAGGAGGAGGGGAGTCAGGGACACAGAGTCTCTGGGCTCTAAACCTAGCCAGACTCAGGTCCCAGTGACAGCCTCACAGGCTGTGGGTGGGTACCTGATGGTCCATGGCCTCCAACATTAGGGGTGAGTCACCAACCCAGAGACAGTCTGGGCCCTAACAATGTCTTGTCATAACTTCATAGTGGGGTGAGGGCCTCCACAATTCACCTAGCCCCTCCCTACCCAAACACAGACACAGAAAGAGAGGGGGGGGGAACACACAAAAGCACATGCAAGCAGTTAAAAAAAAAAACAGAACCCTGAAGACACTTATATGCAAACACACAGGCACATCTATGCCAACAAAATATAACCTCAGTTACACACTTAGACACAGTGGCACGTATCTGAGGAGCACTAAGAGAGGCAGAAACAGAAGGATCAGGAATTTCAGACTATTCTCAGCTACATGGGCGAGCCTGGACTACATGAGACCTTGTTTCAAGGAAACTTTTTTTTTTAAAGGCAACAACATGAGCACCCCTGTAAACACAAGAAGAACATGGACACAATATATGGATGTTCACACGAGCACCTAAGGTGCTCATATGTGCAGACATGCACATTTAGACACAGTGATGACCAAGGACACGGATACACAGACACATGAAAATAGAGGCACAAGGGTCAGTGGAGATGGCTCAGTCGGTAAAGTGTTTGTTATGTAAACATGAAGACGAGTTCAGCTCTCCCATTCATGGATGAAAGCAGGGTACATGCCCTTGATCTTAGTTCTGGGAAAGCAGACAGGAGATTCCTAGGGCTGAATCCATCAGCTTCGAATTTAGTGACTCTATCTTAAAAAATAAGTTGGAAAGCAATTGAGGGCATTTAAGGTAAAATTCTAGCACACACACACACCTCTCACACAAACAAATGTGCGTATAGCAACTTGCGTAGCAAACACACACACACACACACACACACACACACACACACAGACAAAGGCACACATCCATATACTTGCACACACCCACATACATTCACCACCCTAACCCCATTTCCTTTGACTCTGCTTCTCTATGAGAGTCATTTTACAGCTCGTGTTTCCTCTTGTCCTATCTCTCTACCTGGCCCAACAGGGCACCTAGTGTCTGGGTCAGAGACACTGGAGTCTGATAACATGTTTTCTCCATTGCTTCTCCCTGTTCTGTGCCTTGCCTGCCAGTTTCCAGGACAGGTGAGGTGGGGCACCCAATGATTCTTGAGCAGGGGCTGTGGACTGTCCCTGAGGAGGGGAGATGAAGTACCATTTGCTCCTTGAGTTTCTGTTTCTACCTACAACAGGGCCTATAGCCTGCTTCCAGGGAGATGATAGACAAGATAGACTAGGAAAAGATAGACTAGGGCCCTGGGGACATGTCTAGAAAGGTCAAGGCTGAGCCATGGTGGTGGTTGTAGGGTCCTGATGCTTGGTAAGCCTGTGTAACCTCAGGTCATACAGCCATAAGGGATGTAAGGCCTGCTGGTAAGGGGTGGAGTTGGGACCCTTCAGTGGCAGCTATGGCCTAGTGGGATGACTCAACCCCAAGCCAAGATTGCTTCCTTGGAGACCTTTGCAATGTTCCTAAATGGGCTGAGCCTGGGCCATAGCTAAGGAGAGAGGGCCCTATATATGGGCATCCTGCAGAAGACAGATCTGAAGACCTTGCTCAGGGACCTCTACATTCACCTCTTGGCTGATGAGACTCATCAGGAGCACAAACAGCATCTGTCTCCTTCACAGCTGCCACACCAGAGCCCATCACAGGGCTGTCCAGAATGCTTAAAAGAACGTGGTGAATATAGGTGGCTGGATAGATGGTGGGTGGATGGAGGGTGAGGAGATGTGCGGGATAATGCTGTCTGCCTGTGGAAGTGCCAGATGTGGGTTTCTGGCAAGTGACACCCAGATGTTGGTCAGCAGGGCCCCTGCCTCTGTGGAGCAGACAGCTAAGGCTCTGCTGCGCTGCCTCTTGCCTAGCCCCCTTGGTTGTGGCCCTCAGGACAGCTGCTGTCTTCTTTTTTATTGCACTGCCTTTTCAACCTCCCCTTAACCTTCATCCAGCCTCTGACTGACCCTAGCAGCTTTCCTATTTAGGTGAAGGGACCCTACATTCCAACTTGGTAGGTGAGCAATCAGTCTGCACAACCTGGCAGGGAGGCTACCCCTTGGCAGGGCGGGGCCCTGACCTGTTCCCAGGGTCACACTCTGCCAGACCCTTGTGGCAGCTGACTACCATAGCTCTTCCCGAATGCTCCCTTCCTCACAGTACAGATAGCTTAAGAAAGGTTCCAGGGGTGCCATGCTCATGATTAACCTTTATTAGCGCTCCCACGGCTTGCCAGGTGCGGAGAATATTCCGTGGGCCTTCCCCTCTGCCGCTAGAGCACAGAGCATATCCCTGTGGGGGCATGCTGAGGACACATGTAGGCAGGGCGATGGCATTGGGGCGGGGGGCAGGGCAGGGCAGATAGGGAGTGAAGCTGGGTCAGGCTGTGCCTCTGACGCACAGGGACATGTGTGGGGCTGCTGCCCATCATAGCAGCATGGCAGCTGATGTTGACAGGTACCATCTGGCCTGGAGCACGTGATGACACAGAACCAGCCGCTCACGGGCTTGACAGCTGGCCAGCTGGGAAAACAGGGCTGGCAGGAGAGTGATTGGGGCTGTTGTTCAGAGGTGTCTGTCTGTGGGAAGTGGAGGCCCTGGGCAGGTTGGGGGTGGAAGATGGTGGGCATGATACACACAGGCAGATGGAGTACATGAAACTTCTCCCATTTCCTCCCTAGCCATCTGGAGAGCCACCCATTCCCCAGGAACTGTTCCCCAAACAACCACACAGGCAGAAGGGAAGAATGGGACCAGGGGCCGCCCACCGGGGGTTTCTCTTGAAGGGGCAGGGCGGGGCTGGGTACTCCTGGCTTCCTCCAGGTGCTGCACCAAACAGATGTAGGCTTGGATGATGCGCAGCTGTTTTCAGGGAAGACACCATGTGCTCCAGCCAGTGTCCAGTGATGGTGTGGACCCTAGGCATATAGTCCCGCTACAATCTTCTTCACCAAGTGGATCCTGGACCCTAGGCAGGGGGCTTATACTGACATCTAGGCAAAGCTGTTCTTGGGCCCACAGAAACAGCAGCTGGTGGTACAGGGGCTCCTTGGTTCACAGTGGAACGTAGGAACAGGGTGGGGGTGGTTCATGTGACTCCAGAGTGTTAGCAACCTGGGTCTGAAAGTTCCTTGAAAGGCACAGAAACAGATTTAATGACTTTATTTTTTCATTTGTTTGTTTTAAGGTTTATACTTTATTCATTTATTTTGGGTGGGTGGGGAGGAGGTGAGCATGAATGTGCCATAGCTCTCTTAGGCCAGAGGACAACTTGAAGGAGTTAATTCTCCCCTTCCATCATTTGGATGCAGCTCAGGTCATCAGGCTGGGCTGCAGGTCCATTCACCCTCTGAGCCATCCTGCCGGCTTGATGCCCTGTTTTATTACTATTTCTGGGGAGGGGAGTAGAGACACACTGTGTAGCCCAGGATAGTGTCAATCCTATGACAGTCTTTTGGCCTCTGTCTACCAAGTTCTGGGATTACAGACAGCCATGACACTCCAAATGCAGGACACTCTGAATGTGTAAGCCCTTTCCTCTGCACCACACAACAAACAAACATAATTAAAACATTTCAGGGGTTTGAACTCTCCCATAATCCTAAAGTGGATGCCAGGACAAGGCTTAGAGGCACACAGTATCACCTACGGTCCTGAGGGCCCACACTGCTCTGGAGATAGCCCCTCCAACTGATTCAATGACTTTGTTAAAGAGGTAGCTGCTGCTACCCTCCAACAGGCAGTATCCTGCCAGGCTGTTCTCACCTCTGGTTCAGAAAGCTGTGTGGTACTTATGGGAGTCTCTGGGGGGCATGTAGGTCACATGCCTGTGCTC